TAGGCACCATGGACAGTGTTCGAGCTGGACCCTTTGGACAGCTTTTCCGCCCAGACAACTTTGTTTTCGGCCAGACCGGAGCTGGAAACAATTGGGCCACTTGATTTTGGAATTTGAAGCGAACTTTGGCATTTTTGGTGTTGGCTTTGTTTCTTCCAGCAGGACGAGAGAAGCAGCGGTGTAAGAACCGTTTCATTGGCTTTTGCTGCCCAGATCACGAAAGCTAGCTGTAGCTAGCTGGAGTCTGTCTTGCTTTAGCAACAAGGGTGGGAGCCGAGGACCTGAGTGCAGATACCTGATTTATCAGGCTTTAACCCCCCCCCCCTGCGGGTTCAACTCCACCCTTCTCCTCAGTACCTGCTGCTGCTTGGTCTCTTGCTGCTTGCATGCTTGGTGCTGCTGATTGCCTTTGGCTGCTTGCTGGTTGCTGCTGACGTGTTGGGGCATGAGCGAAGAGTTCGGTGGGGGAAGCGGGTGATGAAGAGTTTGGTGATGTTTGGTGGAAGCATGGCAGTAGTTGAGTTTTCCCTTTGTGCATCCTATATTAACTATATTATTGTCACGCTGCCCCAACTCGTGTCATGGTACGGTTGATGCCATTCATGCGGTTCAGGGTTGCTGCACTTGTTGCAACGCAACACTGCTGCTGCTGCTGCCTTTGCTGCTGCTGCCTTTGCTGCTGCTGCTTTGCTGCTGCTTTGCTGCTGCTTTGCTGCTGCTTTGCTGCTGCTGCTTTGCTGCTGCTTTGCTGCTGCTTTGCTGCTGCTGCTTTGCTGCTGCTGCTTTGCTGCTGCTGCTTTGCTGCTGCTGCTTTGCTGCTGCTGCTTTGCTGCTGCTGCTTTGCTGCTGCTGCTTGGCTGCTGCTGCTGCTTGGCTGCTGCTGCTGCTGCTGCTTTGGCTGCTTTGGCTGCTGCTGCTGCTGCTGCTGCTTGGTAGCTGCTGCTGCTGCTGCTGCTGCTGCTGCTGCTTGGTAGCTGCTCCTGCTGCTGCTGCTGCTGCTGCTGCTTGGTAGCTGGTGCTGCTGCTTGCTAGCTACTCCTGCTGCTGCTTCTGCTGCTGCTTGGTAGCTTCTGCTTGCTGCCGCTGCCGCTGCTGGTTACAGTTATTGTTGTTGTGGCTGTTGCTGCTGCTGCTGCTGCGGCGGTTGCTGGGGTGCTTGTGTGTTGCCATGTGTTGGCTGTGTTGGGGTCGTATTGGGGGGGCGCTGTTGGCACTCTCCTTTTCCCTTGGCCATAGCATGTTGCGATTCCTCCGCCTGGCTTTTGCTGCCTAAAGAGCCCCAGCGTTGTTTATTTGCCTAGCTTTCGCCACCCCCCTCTGGGCCACAAGTGCTGTCATTGAATCGAGCTGACTGCATGCACTTCCAAATCCAAGGCGAAGGGACACTACACCGAGGGAGCCGAGCTCATTGACTCAGTCTTGGATGTCGTTCGCAAAGAAGCCGAAACCTGCCTGCGCAGTGCCCATGTTGCTTTGTTCACGGTAGTATTGCATACTACTCTGAGCTTTTTGTAGAACGCCAAAGTGATTCCCCGAGCCTACTTTGCCAATGTCACTTGTTCCCAATAGCAGAAGGGAGTTGGGTTTCAGAAGGGAGTTGGATTTCAACCTCCGGGGCGCCCGAAAACCGGAATTCCACCCTGGAACCTTGGAACCCTTGGGTGTTATTAGGTGCCATGATCGGACTTCCACCTTGGAACCCTGCATGCTGTTAGGTGCTGGATCAGAATTCCTTTACTCGTGTACGCGCACCCACAAGCTCCTGATGTCTACTTTCAAGGTCGGATGTGGCTCTATTCAGGGAGGCTTGCGTTCACGCTGCGTCCCTGATTCCTCTTTGCCGAGCTCTTCTGCATCAGAGCAGCGTACTCTTACGAGTGCGTCTGCTGGAGTCAGTCGAGAGCTCCAGAGGTGCCATGGGAAGAGATGGTCTTTGGCGATGTCCATGATGTCCATGCGGTTGGCCTTTGCCACCAGCAGCAGACATCACTCCGCGAAGAAGCAAACCACCGTGTTCATTTGGCTAGGTCGCATTGGTGGCGTTGTCGGCTGGGGCTCCCTGAGCCTCGTTTGTCGGAGGCCCAGCATCACCAAAGATACAAAGACGTGGCTGACCGTGCTAGGCTTAAACGTCAACGCCATGCTTGGTCTGCCTGGTGGTGTGATTTGATTGCTCTGGCTCCAGAAGCTGTAAAGAAGAACTTCCATGACTTGGATGTTCGTCGCCATTCTCGCGTGATTCCATGTCGTCGACGCAAGGGGTGGTTGGCTCAGGCACGAAGAGCCTTTTAACTTGCACTCCAGATGATATGAAGTTGCGCGGTCATGCCCGGTCCTCCGCAAGGGCGTCACGGTCTCGGAAAACTTCAGACTGCACGTGCGTTGATGTGATTGGGCCCTTCGTTCAAGCCAAGGACGCTGGCACAGGGAAGCTTTGTCGCTACGCCTTGTTGGCCACCGTTCCTATTCCAGTCCCAGAGGGTCATCAAGATCCCCCAGTTGCAGATGTTCGAGGGCTGGAAGGCGCTTCATCTGCTGGCAAGTGGGGCTTGGTTGCAACACAGGCACGTCGATGATCTGCTCACGTCATTGCTTTGTTTGAAGCGCATCAAGCTGAACGTCAGGCTCTGCGGTTCTGGGGCTGCTCGTAGAGCTGGCTTCGACGGCTTTGTTTCTCTTCAATCAGTACGGGATCCTTCATTGCGCTGGCTCTCTGATATGTTGCTCATCTCTGTCTGTTTTCCTGTCGGCGATGGTGCGTCCTCAAACAAAGGGAAGCCTTCATCGTGGCCAGACACAATCATCTGACCGCTTTTCATGCCTCCTGTCGCAAAGAGATTCGCTTGACCGAATTTTACAAGATTCGCGAGGCCAGCTCCCTAGCTGAGTCTGATGAGGTTGCCTGGG